CCAGCAGGAGCACAACTCAAAAGCGTAAAGGTACCGCGATTTAAGATTTTCCTGAATAATTCTTACATTATTTTATTGTTTGTTAATTTTACAACTTTACCATATTTTGCATACACTGGAGAACATTTGGTGAAAATTTTATGAAAATGGGACTGATATTCAGCGCGCAGTAGCGATTTTCCGCAAAACGCCAAAAAGGGTGTCCTGTAACCTTAATTTTACGTGATTTATTCCAGATTTATTTTAATTGTGGGATAGGTAATAGGACCTCTACATGCGTCTGGGATCCATCGTTTGTGGCTTACTTACGTTCAACGGGATCTGGAAAGTAGACCATCCCCTTGAAATATTTAGTGTATATTATGGTGCACGCATATAATGTGTGTGCTGTTTTGTGTCTTTTAATAAATAGTACTTTTACTTTTACTTTGTACTTCAAGTATTTTTAAGAATACTTTGCACTTTTTACTTAAGTACGTTTTGCCTCCAGTACTTTTTACTCTTACACAAGTCGTTTTATTGTTAATCACTTCTACTTTCACTCGAGTACAAATTCCAAGTAATTTAGGCATCACTGACTATAATACTATATATAGTACGATCGTACTTGTTAAAATTACTTGCCAATGAACTCATAAGATGGGTCGTTTTTTAAGCCATGTAAAACACTCGTATTCCGTGCTTTATCAGACAAAATGTGTCTAAAATGTATGGAATATCGTTTCGCAGACCTTTATTTTCCGGGGGACCATATGCCTCTGGACGATTAGACACCCCCGCCCCACTCGTTTGGAGCTGGCTAGGCCCATGCTTCTTGAGGGAGCAACTCAGGATAGACTACTGTCTAGAATATGGCGCTGGTTTTAGTTGTGAACATATTACTGTATATGATTGAGTTTCAGTACAGTCACAGAGTACTAACCATATAGGTCTCACTTCGCGAGAAAAACGCAAGGTAGTTTTTAACCGTTTTTACAACGTATTGAACTTACTGGTATGTTATTGCAGTCAGCTCGATAGCCATGCGCAGGACTGGTGGTTAGTTCAGTCTTCATATTAACAAACTTGTCTGTGGTGTAACACATCGTCCAGCCACCACCAAATGATGTCATATCACAATACACCTCGAATGGCTTTTCTTCGCCATCACCCTCGGGATCTATTATATATTTTCCATCTCCATAGCTTAAACCTTTATTCAGGATGTCAAGACAACTTGAACCTGAAAAAAAGCAAAATATTAACATAGATTGGCATGTTTTTAAACTGTATAGCTGCGGATTGAAAATACAAGCAGAACTTCGACCTTTCGAGCATTCTCGTTCCCAGAGCCATTTTCACTCGGTCACTCGTTGAAAATTAGGCTCTGGGTTAGACCGACTTAGACGACTAAAGGGAGAGATCTGATTGGCTTCTCAGAGAACTGCTATTTCGCAGAAGTTGAGCAGTTTTTGCTAGGCAAAATTATTCTATCAACATGTATGTCAACATAAATACTCAGGTAATACTTTACTGTGAAAATTTTTACGGTTGCTAAAGCGTCCCAATTCAAGAGCACGCGCTTTAAGGCCATGTTGCACGGTCCAATTTTTCTTGCAACTTGCAATGCAATTCTACTCTTGAGAGATGTTAATTAGTGAAATCAGTAAAGAATTTTCGATATGTTGAGAAAACAGCAGAGTGTAATGAAGACTCGTATTTGGTAATTTTAACATCTCTCAAGAGTAGAATTGCATTGCAAGTTGCAAGAAAAATTGCACCGTGTAACATGGCCTTTAGAAACTACTGCAAGAAACGTTTTCTTGCGAGAAACGGTTCCGGTTTCGTGTGGCCCAGGGAGGACGCGGCGCGGCCGAGAGGCCCTGGGGACGAGGATGCGTTTCGAGTATGTATTTCTGAAATATAAATACAAAATGCATTTCTGAAATTAGTAATGTCAGTTATAAACATCGTCAAGCCGTAAAAAGCTCAGAATTTCAGCCTGTAGATTGTTGAAACTGGTCGACATAGCAATGGTCCATACGATAGAAGAATTTGTATTTATAGCACTATTGAATGCGATGCAATAATACAAGGTTTACTGATCTCAGAGAGTTACCCAGCTGACAGACAAGCACACAAACTCAACCTTTAACTAAGTTTAAAATTTTATTGGAAAGACACTGACCACTGAGCCTCGTGGAAATATTGAATACCTTGAGGAGAACCCGATGATTTTCCTGGTTGTATTTGGGTGCGCCAATTTTTGCCATCACAAAACTGAAGTGCAACTCTGTATGTTCCGCCTTGATTTTTCATGCATCGACCGCCAAAGTAGGTTTTGGAATTCTGCAAATGTAAAAGTCAAATATATCGACAAATGCCAGAGATTTAGTGCCCTCTCCGATTGTGCTAATATAGCTACTCAATAAGAAAAACACTAAATTCAAACACTGGTTTTAGGTTGTGAAACGTAATTTTAAAAATAGGCAATTTGGACGCTTTCACTAAATTTGGTTAACGCTTTGCCCATCATCACTGAGTTAAGCCAACTACTGTAGGTCGAAGGTAGGGTACTACTTGGCCGGGTCGCTCTGTTTGCAAGAGCAAACCATGGGCAAACCTTTCAAATCCTATATCTAATAATCACTGATCAGTTATTTGTTAAATTTCCAGTGATACATTTACGAATTCGATCTACGCAATGCGGCGCTAGCGAACGTAGACTCAATTAACACATAAACTTACACTAAGATTTCCAGCTTGACTTGTGACCACAAGTGCCATCATGATAGTCAAGATTACTGTGAATTTATGCTCTTCCATGATTCAAGACTTGACTTTTCAAACAACTTCTATTTCTTGATGTCTTCTCCTCTTCACGATCAGGCCACGTCTGAATCTCTAACTTTTGGTGAGCCATATTTCACCTATTGGTATGTAGTTCCTTCAGCAGTTTGCTTGAGGAATTCTTTGTATCTCAAACATGGGGGGGGCGGGTCCAATGTCAGCCGTGTTCTACAATAAGCTGTCGTGGTTTGCGTCTGAACTACCTGAAAAAGATATCTCAAACGTGGTGGTCCAGTGTAGGTAGTATTCTACAATAAGCTGTCGTGGTTTGTATCTGAACTAGGTGGTATTCAATAAAATTACTTGGTTTGTATTTGAACTACTTGTAAATTATTAAAAACACTTTCACGATGACGTTTCAAGCGAAAACGTATTTTCAGGTAATTAATTCTGATCGTAACTGATACGTCGTTAAAGCCGGGTTACAGTCCGTAATGTAAACAAACGCTTTGTTTACATTTTGAACTGCTATATTTCTTAAAATATTATGAACTGTCAGAAAATTTAACACTATTTTGGTTCGCTATACTTTTAAATAAGTATGAGCTAGTGTTTATGTTCAGAAATATACAAAACATGCGAAATTTGCACAATTTTGAAATCCAGTAGTCTACCTTTGTTATGAGCAGAACCGATGCACAGAACGGACTGTAACCCGGCTTTAAAATTCCACTATTGTTTTTTAATCTATTTCTGTCCTAAGATTATATATTTTTTAATTAAAATCTTCGCAGGATAAACAAAACAAAATATTGTGTTTGCTCTGTAAACAGAGTTTGGACAAGACAACGAAGTCGAAGAACGAACGTTAACGGTTGCTCAAGGTGTCTTCCCGTTATTTAACAATTATTCCCCGAAGGCGAGGTGATTATCGGTGAATAAAACCGAGACGAAGTCGAGGTTTTTATTCACGATAATCACCGAGCCTGAGGTGAATAATTGTTTTAGTATAATTTCATAGGTGATTATTTGTAAAAAAATATAAGAAAATACAGATTTCTTCATCATTTAATTGACAAAAAGGCTTCGGCCGCCATTTTGAAAATCGCTTAGGTGATTATCGCGTAATAATCACCTCAACGGCAACCAATCAGCGTGGAGAATTTTCAATAATCACCTATGTAATTATACTAAAGACTAATAATAATGATTAATGAATTATATAGCTCATTTTTGTGGGTAGCCGCGCATGCCGAGCTAACCACGATCAGGGCGAAGGGAGAGAGGGCGTAGAAACGGCCATACATCGAGCGGACCCATCCGTGATGCGGACTTCGCGGGGGGTAAGACGTTCTAATTGTAAACAAATATGGCTACGCGTATACGACCCATCAGAAGGTATGCTGAAACTATTGCTTTATAAAATATTACTTGTGTAAAATTTATATGTTTTTGTTACTTTCAGCTATTATAAGAAACTTAAAGATAAGATTTAAGTAACAAAAAACTTTATTTCGGGTGTTATTTTATTTATATACGCTGTTTAATTTGGTGGTTAAAAATGGCCGTCGAAATGTTGTCCGAGAGTGTTAGCGCGCACTGCTTCCTGATAAAAAACCAATGATTTCCAAAACCTAAATTATAATTACTCGCTGGGGCACTCTGTGCCGGGCGAGTATAGGTTTCGGCACGCATTTTTAGTGGATCAGCAATAGTGGATCAGCAATAGTGGATCAGCAATAGTGGATCTCCAATTTTCTTCGATAGCCACAAAATAGAATATTAATGAGCTGCCTAATATCAAAATGGCGGCCTTTCGTGGAGTGGGCAAAATATTTCAAACAATTTCGTTAAAATTTTCAACGAATTGTACCTGTTTTTTTATGGATTTTGCATTGTGTCTAACTTTAGACATTCTTGCTAATTTAGTTAATGTATTTTTC